AAGTTAGGGAAGTTGGCAATACTGCTTCTGTTATCGACATATTTGTTAGTCGATATTTGGAAGTTAACCGCTTTTTATTCGTAATTACTTTTTTTATTGATAACTACTTTTTATTTGTTTAGGTTATTTAAAATTATTCATAATTGGTTAATTGTTTCAAATTCACTGTATTAAATTTATTATCATTTGTATATATATTACTGAAATACTTTTTTATACGATTTTTATTCCTTTCATAAATCGCTTCAAATTCATTTTATTTTATTCGACATTTGTATATACCACTGAGATATTTGTTTATTCGATTTTTATTAGTTTCAATTGTATTATTTGTAACCTCAGGTATGTAATTCAAACTAGTCTTTTTGTTCAATAGACGTCGATAAGTATTTATTTGTAATAGGTTTTACTTGGTTCTTATTCTGAAATTGGTTTATTTTTGTGTTTTTTCTTGAATCATTTTTGTTCTGATTATCAATACAAATTAATACGATCTGATAAATCAATTCAATCATATATTCTATTATCGTTTATCATACAGGTAACACGATGAGTTTTCGTCTTTTTTAGATCAGGTCGATAGCTCTAAATTGTTGAGTTGACCCAGTTTTGATATTAGGTCATCCAGTAGCCAACTTGATTTTCTATTAGTATCATTCTCCAGACTTTCACATATTGAATATTATACAGTGTTGTCTACTTCAATTACTTGACTCCTATGAACGAAGAAAGTTGAGTAAAAAGCTCAACCAACCATCATGGTATTTTTTAGATTTGGACTGGCCATGTTTTCTTTTCTTATGTGGGCGTTCACTATAGAATATTTTCTAAACATATTATATAAAGATTAGATTATCTTAATTAAAAGGTTATTTTTTCTGTATTTATCAATTTTCGTATGATCAGAGTATTGATACTTACGAGTCAATATTTCATTTTACATGCGGTCATAAAAAGTAATTTCCTTAAAGATTGAGTTTTGTTCCACATAATATAATGTGGTGTCCTTACATATTTTAATAAATTCAAACTATTGTTTCTTTCATATGATATTGTTAGTAGAGATAGAATAGTGCCATCATATCAACTTAACATTTTTGATTTACTTTTGATATTTTTTAAATATAACTCGTATCTCTTATATGTTCTGCTATAATCAAGTAAGGGTTAACGTATCAAAAGATGAATAACGTTACTCGAAGCGCATCGTCTCACGTTGAAATTTCAAGCAACTGTGGTTTTAGGTACAGTAGCTTATAAAGTCGATGAATGTATCTACAACGTCATTGAATTAGGAACTAGAATTGTTTTTCTACATGCTCCGTGAAGTCGGAAACTTTAAGAACGAGACTTTTCCTGTTGTTGTTTGGTACTGTATTTTTCAAAATATAAATTTCTCTTATTTCACTGTTTCTTGCAAAATATGATAAAAGTATGAAAAAGTTATTGTCTCATGCTCTCTTACAAATTAGAGATAGACGTAAGAGTGAAAATATATGTTCATGATACATCTTAAAGAAATGATATTTTTCATTGTATTCTTAGTTCTATTTATGTAGAGATGATAAATCCAAACCTGATTTTTTAATCAACAGATACAACTACTGCTGATGTTCTCCCGTAAAACTAGATCTTTTTTCTGCTTATTATCGTTTGTTTTTTATTTGGACCCGTAATTTTCCTGATGAATTGGTGTTTCCAAGAGTCAAAAAATTCTTTACTGGATGCGACCAAATTTCTGAGTGATGTTCTATAACTGATATGAGTTATCTCTGTGATTTTCTGGTTTTAGGAGATATGTCTTTATACATTAAAACAAACCAAAACTATAGGTGAAAAAATAGATTAAATAGAGAATCATTTCTGCTCAAAATTTCATTTTGGATAACTTAGAAAATTTTTCAAGACTATAAGCTGCGAAATTTTGATACAATTGTAGCGGATAAAGTAGAATTATCAACGAATATAGATTAACCGACCCTTCTGTGATTTTTCGAATCTGTATGAAGATAGCCAAATAGATTTTATTTAGCAAAATTATTTCATGCCTAACATAGTTCAAGATACCGACACATTTAGTTTTTTAATCAGTGCTCTCGTTTGATATTCCAGCAACATACTGATAAAAGAAATTGATAAGTTTATTTACGCTATTCGTCGTTGGTAGTAGCAGAAGAAAGAATATAGCATACTAATAATACAAAATTTCTACGTATTTAGAGCTACACAAGGCCAGAGATATTAATCCTACTACCTTATTTAGACTAGCTGTGGAATATTAGATGATCACTTGAATATGAATGAAAGAAACTTGATTCTTTTTTTTAGAATATTGACTTCCAAATGAGTAACATATGTGTTTTTTGCAATGGATCTTCAAATGAGGCCTGTTGTGCTACATGTGCTAAGCTATCTAGAAGTCAACAATTTGTTTATCTTCTTAACAAATTACAAGAAGCAACAGCAAAACCTTATCCACATGACGAACTTGTGACGATTGTCAAACGAATCAAACAGTTATCGTTCTTAACTGAACCAATTATATACACGCCTCTCAAACACTTTGATCCTGATATGCAACACGTTGATCAAATCGCTCAAACGTACTTACTCAAATGCCAGTGCGTATTTTTGAGATGCTGTCGCTTACTATAATTTTGACTGATTCGAATATATTATTATTTCAGAGGAATTAATATATTTCAAGCAGTTGCTTTAACAGCATATGCTGATGGTAATTGTCTTTACAATAGTGTTTTAAGTTTAATGCCATCGCTTAATGTCACACCAATCGAATTACGTGTTCGAACGATTGTTGAACTTGTAATCAATTTCGATGAATACACATATAACTACATGGATAGTGTGGGACCACTTCAAGAACGTTGGAAAGATATAGCTAAAAATTACAGTTATTCTGATCTTTATGAGTTGGTGTCACTTTGTAATGTTTTGGGATGTAACATTCGGAGTTTGTATCCTCGAATCGACTATCACTCAGTTAGCTCAAGATATTTCTGAAATGGATTACACTTTAGCTTAAATTTTCAAATGTTTTTAGTATTTTGATATCTACAATTGTACATTTTCTCCAAATGTTCCAACCGACAATGTGATTACTATTTTGTGGTGCCATACGAAGGTGGAGGCAGAAGCTAGATTATATACCAAAGGAAATTGGCTTCCAAATCATTTTGTTCCGGTTGTACTACTTCCACCAGACGCTACAACACAATCAAATAATCAAACTTCTAGTACGGCTTTGTCTCAAATGAATGTGAGTTTATTTCTGCACTTACGCACCTCTGCTGCTTGAATTTCTAACCAAAACTGAATCGAATGGAAGTTGCCCTCGAACATATCATTCTGGACACTATATCCATTTAGGATGAACCATAAAGTGAATTATAGAGACTTCATGATCAAGATCAGCTTCGCCTTGATTCTATAAACTGAAAGCTTTATTTTTACAAAGTATTTATATAAAGATATGCATATGTATATATACATATGTGTATATATGTACATATGTATCTATCTATGTAGATTTATATCTATTTATCTAGATATGTATGTTACAGGGGAAATTGAAATTCAAGACAATTTAAAATTTTCCTATAAGTTGAAATTTCATTTTTTTCCAATAGAATAATTTTAAATATTTCTACAGTTAAAACTAAAATTTCAATTTTTCCTGGAAAGTTTTAAATTTTTCTGAATTTTAATTTTTTCTCCAAGATGCACACATAGATAATATATATGTCTATTGGAAGACAAATCAAAATTCAGTAAACTTTACATTTTTTCTAGGACAAATTGAAATTTCATTTTCTCCTATAGGAAAATTTTAAAGATTCCTGTAAAAAAAACTGAAATTTCACTTTGCCCTAGAAAAATTTAAAATTACCTTGGATTACAATTTCTTTTGAACATATATATAGATATACACAAAATATCTGAGCTGAAAGATGAATTGGAATAGAGTGAGCAGACCAAACAGATATAATTCATTGAGAAATAGAAGCTAAAGGTGGCTATCAAAGGTGAACAGAATTGAGAATCAATGAGAGTTTATGCGACTATCACCATAATGACACTTAGTTGGTCATCATTCGATATTTTTAATTAGAAAAAGCAGTGTCTGACTTATTCAAATGTTTAATGATATCTGTTTGATTTATCTGTATTACTTAAATTTATTTCAGCGTTTACAAAAAAGTTCAACTGATCCTCATATGCCTTTGACAACAGAAGAATCGATGATTGTATTGGATGAGTCCGATTCAGAGATGACAAACGATGTTGTTACGGTAACAAATACTACGACTTTGACAAGTGTTAAACCGGCCAAGCGATTATATAATGATGCAATAAGGAAACGTAAATCAAGACTTCTAGAGACAACAGAACAGCGAACTATTCGATTATTCAAACAACGTAAATTGACAAAGAGAAATCGAGCAAATGAAACTGAAGAGCAAGTTAAAGCTCGACTCAGTAGAAACTCCAATCGTAACGCTCTCAAACGGCTTGCTTTCTATGAATCACAAAAACAGGAACGTATTCAAAAGGGCAATAGTCATCGTCGTATTCAAACAAAGGAAGCAATAGCGAAGACAAACCATTGGCCTACTGTTGTGTCTTATGATTACAAATGTCAATGTCTTCAAAACTTTACCGATCGTATGTCAAAATCAAATGTAGCAGAGTCAACTTGCGCATTATGTAATGTTCGAGCTTTTTCTCAACATATGGTTCAATTACCTATGAATGACTTAAAAAACAAATTATTTCTTCGTCCTCATATTGATATTACAACATTCATTCCTGGTTATGAGAATTTAGTCATAAATGATGAAAACTGGATGGAAACAGATACTATCGACGAAGCATATCCTCATATTGATCCGCGTATGTACATTCTTTTTCGTGACGGCTCCGGCTGTTTCTAACTATCCATATTTTATTTTTTAAGAATTCTCAAATAAAAAATACGATCAAACATTTTTTTGTGAAGGAAACGTTATGTTATACCGAAAAGGAGTATCTGGTCACAATGATGATGACAATGCACATATTTGTTTATTATGCAAAGATTGCTATCTAGCTTATTCAAAAGGACAAATTCCAAAATTTGGTGCAGCTAATAAAATGTGGATTGGTGACGTGCCCGAGGAATTAAAAGATCTGACGATCGTGGAGGAGAAGTTGATTGCCATTTATCGACATAATACTTGTGTAATTAAACTCCAATCACCATTTAATTCTTCATCAACGGCTCAATCAGCGTTAAAAGGAAATGCTATTACATTTCCGCAAAATATTCCGAACATTGCATCAAGTCTTCCTTTGGCTATGTCAACTTTATGTGATACTATCAAAGTGGTCTTCATCGGATCGCGTATGCCAACACGAGACCAGGTGAGAAAAATTCTCACAGTTCGTAAGAAAAAGGTGCGTAATGCTTTGGAATGGTTAAAGCAAAACAATATCTTGTATGGAAATATTGTCATTAATGTTGAAAATCTGAACAATCTACCAGATAATGATATTCCTGAACCACTCTGGGCTACTCGAGAAGAACATTTAAATGCCAATGAACTTGTTGATGAGAGAGAGGGCTACGTTCCTGATCCTTTAACTGAAGCAAACGAACGTGGTGAAAGAACTAATGCTAGCATAATTTCCATCAACGTTAGTGGCGTACTTGATGTTAAAGGAACAAGTATTACATCAGAAGATATTAATTACCATCTACTACAAAGATTACGTGCCGATACTACAAAATCGTCAATAAAATTTGGTGAGAAATATTTAAATGGCAATGATATTGTTTATATGATTCCACATGGAAGTAAACCTACAAACGAATATTTGAATCCAAATCTTCTTCCTGGCTTATATCCAACACTATTTCCGTATGGTTTGGGTGGTCTCGAAGATCTTTTACGCCCAGTGAAAGTGTCAATGAAGGATCATGTTCGTTATTTGCTAAATTATGATGATAAGCGTTTTGAAAAGCATCATTCGTTTATGTTTATCGTTTTTAATATGATCCAACGAAGAGAAGCATGTTTACAAGCACGTCTATTGTCTTCAAAACCATTTTTTGCTAATGAAGCTCAAGTTATTGGTACGGTGACAAGCGATGAAGTACAAAAAGTGTTGACACAAGCTATTGAAGGCAATTATTCTACAAGTGATAATTCTCGAGTTAATACATTACTTAAGAATATTAAATCCATCGGTGGCCACGTAATGGGATCAGTACATAAACGATCTTCATTAAGAACATTGATCCATGCTTTAATATTCAATCAAGGATTATTCAGTATTTTTCTAACAATTAATCCAGCAGACGTACACCATCCTTTGGCAATGTTTTTTGCAGGTATTGATTTTGATTTAGATAATGTTCTACCTGAAAATTTACCATCAACTTATGAACGAGCTGAAATTGTTGCTTCCCATCCAGTTGCTACAGCAAAATTTTTTCATCATCTTACTTCTTCAATTCTTGCTACTTTAATTGATGGAGGTCCAAGTGGTGGAGTTCTTGGAAAAATTAAGGCATATTTCGGCACAGTTGAAAGTCAAGGAAGAGGCTCTTTACATTTACATATTTTGATATGGCTTGATCATGACCTAACACCAGTTGATTTGAAAAATAATGTACAAAATGAAAATTTCAAAGAAAAACTGATTACTTATCTTGAAGATATTATCAAAGAAGATCTAGACAAATTTCGAGAAACCATTTTGATCAATTCGAACGATCAACGTAAGTTTTATTTTTGATATCATAGTTATTTCATTGTGTTGGTGTACATGATAATAATTTGTTTAACTGACTAATAAGTGCTGAAATCACATTTAATCAACCTATATTTTGCTCAGAAATATCTGTTTTGTCCGGAACATATTGCTACTCAACTGTAACAATATTATTATTGATACATCAAGTAGAAAGATCAGGATGAGTGTCTTCTTCATACACAGCTTCTAGATTGTCGAAGCCTTCATTTCTTATTATGAATTTAGTCTATAAGAGTTCATACCGTTCAATGATAATTAAATGTGATACTAAATAAGTTAATTGTTCTAGAATCATATGAAATAAATCCAAAAAATGATCTCGCAGCTTGTCGACCAACACCAAAACCATCGACAAAAAATTTCAATAAAATTTTTTGGCAAGATGTTGCCAATCTGGTGAAACAAAATAATATCCATAAGCATACAAATACTTGTTATAAATACAGCCAGCGGCGAAGAAATGCTCGAAAGTGTCGTATGCGTATGCCACGAAAGATTATTGCTAAGTCAGAAATTGACAGTGTAACGGGCAACATTTCAATGAAGCGTAATCATGAATGGATCAATAATTTTAATGAATGGATCATGTCAGCATGTCGTTCAAACATGGATATAAAATTTGTTTGGTCTGGTTCCGATGCCAAAGCTTTAGCGTATTATGTGACAGACTATGTAACCAAGTCTAGTCTGTCATTTCATGACAGTTTGGCACTCATGATCAAAGCCACAAAAGATTTTGATAAAAAACAATCTGATTCATCTGATAATATTCATGAACGATCACGACGTCTGCTTTTGAAAATGCACAATACATTGGCATCACAACAGGAGCTTTCAGGCGTACAAGTAGCTTCATACATTCTAAATTTTCCAGATCATTATACCACACATGAATTTCAAAAAATTTATTTAATTGGAATTGAAAATCATTTGGAGAAATGTCTTCAAGATGCAAAAACTCAACAAGAAAATGGAAGCAACATGATTGAAAGTAAATAGCTCTTTGACATATTTTCTTAAATTTATATTTTCTTGGTCAAAGATCAAACCTATGCACAAATACATGAATTTGAAGATGATCTTGATGTTCTCAATGAACACTTTCTTATAGAATCAGCTGAGAATAATAAAATGGTCTTTGTAAATAGTCGTATTGATTATCAACATCGAGACAATACATTGAATAATTATTGTTTATATGATTTTACAAGTTGGTTTCGAAAAAAAAAGATTGACGAAAATGACAAAAGAATTTTGGCAAAAACAAACGAAGAAACAACTTCGATTTCACGTGGACGTCCATCCAATGAACGTTACAAATTTCTTCCTCAACATCCTCAACATTTTTCACATATTTTAATGAAATGGACCAAACCACGAGTACCAGTATTGATTGGACCTATGATTCCTCGCCGTGAACGAGATGAAACAAAAGAACGCTACTATCGTGCTATTTTAACTTTATTTGTACCGTGGCGCACAATTACTGATTTATGTGATGTTACTGAAACTTAGGAAGAAGCTTACAAATCCAAGAAAGTTCTAATAACTCAAGATATGCACCAAATAATTGCCAATATTCAACTTTTGCACGAATGCAAGAAAGATCGTGATGATCATCTCTTGCAAATGATCGAAGTGGGTGATACAGGTGATATTGATCCACAACTTGTTACCCAACATCAGATAAACAACGATGACAGTAATACAGATGATGATGAAGATATTTTAGATATTATTGCTAGCATTGATGATACTGCCTATGCATCTAATGACTCACAAACAATGGTAACGCCTGAAACCGTCTATTACAACGATTCACTGACTGCCATAGAAAATGCCAACCGTTTTCCACATTTGATCAGTAAGAGATACTTGATTCTCCTGACATATATTTATGAGACTTCTATTTTATTGACGATTACTAATATATAGTCGCCTCAGTCCTCTAGATTGATACAGATATCGATTAGAGATGACTGCAGTGACTATATAGATCATTGTTTTATCTAATTCGTTTCAATATTTCTAATGCTAGATTCGAATTCGCATACTTACCAACAAGAATTGACCCTCAACAATAATTCCAAAGATTGCCTTATTCCGGCTACACCTCAATTAATTAAAAAAAATACACAGTGGCAGCGTGACCTTCAAGTCGAAAAACAAAAGGTTCGAGAAAAAATCATCAATGGTTTCGATAATGACAATTCCAATGAAAGCTCTACTGCGGATGAACCAAATTCAATTGTCGTTAGAACCGATTCTTTAATGGATATTAGTGATCATAATATTGAAAATAATCAATCGGATAATATACGATCTATTGTTATAACAACTGTACCCACCGCTACGCATCAACAAGTGAAAGATGAATTTACTTTGAACGAAGATCAGAGTCGAGCCTTTCATATTATTACAAGTTATCTTGATAGAAACAGCTTTTTGAAGCAAAGTAAGATTAATCCACTCTTACATCTAGACTTAGAACAGCTCCAGTTTATGTTTATGCGATCAGACCAAAAGAGCTGTTCGAACAGGTGAGCTCAGATCAAGACCTGCTTCAGAAGTTCAGTTGATGGAACTCAGATGTCTGCAGAATTTTATCGTTTTTTTCAGAACACCACAATGCTACGGGCACCCTCAGAGATGCTGGTAACATTCTCAGTGATATTGATTGCATCCTCAAGGATGTTGATAACATTCTCAGAGACGTTGATAGCATCCTTAGGAATCTCGATAGCATCCTCGGGGATGTTGATAACGTTCTCAGAGATGTTGATAGCATTTTTGAGGATGTTCACAGCATCCTTAGGGATGTTGATAGCATCCTCAGGGATGTTAGTAGCAGCATCAAGGATGCTATTAGCCTCCTCAAGAATGTTACTAGCGTCGTAAGAGATATATAAACTGAACTGCTCGAACGGATCAGGTCTGATCAGATCACTATTTGTAACAGCTCCGCAGATCGAAACGTTTACCGATTTTTACTAAACCCCCTCTCATCATCTTTGCTTCTGTTTCTTCTGTAGACGACGTGCAACAACAACTTATTATGTGTGTACCAGGATCGGGTGGGACTGGGAAGTCACAATTAATTGGTGCACTTACCCGATACTTTTCTGTAACGAAACGAGCTCATAAATTGCGCAAACTTGCTCCTACTGCCATAGCAGCTACAAATATCGGCGGCATGACAATTCATTCATTTCTCAAAAATTATAGAAAAATGTCAAAGAAGAAGCGAGTGTTGGCACCTGGAGACATTTCAATTCAAAATGAATGGCGTCACGTGCAATATATTTTCATCGATGAGATTTCTATGGTTGGTCTACGACTTTTAGCTCGTCTTCATGAGATTTTAACCATCGCTAAAAGTTCGGATCCAAGTGTACCATTTGGTGGTATTAACATAGTTTTATTTGGCGATTACATGCAATATTCACCTGTGCTTGACAAAGCTTTATTCATAGACGTTTTCATGGAATCTAGTTCGTCTATGGCTAATTCAACATCAGTATCGAAAAGATCATTAAGTGAATATGAAATCCAATGTCAAGTTGGGCGGGCACTTATTCTTCAAGTCAATGTTGTTGTCAAGCTTACCATACAGATGCGAGTGGATGATACAGAGTATTTGGGAGCACTTGATAGATTACGATTTGGTGAATGCAATATGAATGATTATGAACTGTTTCGTTCACTGATTATCGGTCGACCTGGTGCGATTCAATCATTATCGGACATTCCATGGAATGATGCTCCAATCTTAGTTTATCGAAATGAAATTCGTACAGAACTTAACAACCGTGCCGTCATAAACAAATGCAAGGAACTCAATCATCCTTTGATAGTATGTGTTGCTCAAGACAAAACAAAGTCCAAAAAAATTGATACAAAGAATCTTCATCGACTACAAAATTTTCTTCTTGATCTACCAGACAACAAAACTGAATCGCTTCCTGGCTATTTACCATTGGTTCCAGGAATGCCTGTTCTATTAACAGATAATGTTGCAACTGAACTTGGACTTTCAAATGGGACAAAAGGAATATTTCGTCAAATCGTCTATGAAGAATTGGATACTTCTCTTACTTATACCAATACAAAATTTCCTAAAAGTAAAACGTTTCTATTTGTTTATGCATCCTGAAATCATAGTGGTTCACAATGCTTTTCGTGACTAGTATTGATATTAAACCGACTATTAGAAGGTTTTGAAGTGTGGAGTATGGCTGCGCTTTTGTTTTACTAAAGAATTGCTTCTATTCTGCTAGATTATTTATTTTCTATTATATATTTGTTCATCCTAATTTGAGATAAAAGCAGAGTCTCTCGAACTCTTTAACATTTAAGCTCTTAGCAGGCTTGAACTGTCATAATTAGTTGTTTCTTCTCGAAGTTCGTTGCTAGCATCAATTTTTCTTTAAATTTCAATTTTTACCTATTAGATACAATTTTTATTCGAAAACCCTCCTATGCTCTTTTGGAGGTGCCAAAAGCGAAAATCAGCACAAAATTCGATTCTCTTGAACCGCAACTGGTTTCCATATCTGCCGTCGAAAAAACCTTCGAAGTTAATGTTCAATCTCTATTACCAATTTCTACGTCTACTTCGGCGAAGTCTAATGGCAACCGTGCGCATTCACCAGCTTCAAAGATCACCGTGACAAGAAAGGCTTTACCTTTTATTCCGGCCTATTCAATCACCACACACAAAGCACAAGGTCAAACAATGTCAAAAGTGGTTGTTGATTTGAGACTTCCACCTGGTAAAGAAGAAGTCGCTTCTCGTTATGTACCATTGGGACGTGTCAAGTCTCGCAAAGACATTGCTATTTTACAAGACTTTCCTTTTTCAGCATTACAAGTAAAACCAAGCAAAGCTCAACGAGTCGAACTTGATCGACTTAACAGACTAAACGAAGTAACTTTAGAAAGATATCAGACATGGAAACAATAATTGTACATATTTGTTAGATTTTTTTATTTATTTTTTTTATTTTTTAATTTTGATTTTGAAACAACAAAACTATGAATACAATCTCAGATTTCATTGCCAATATGTATATATATGTCGTATCGATGTTATATCGGTCGATGAAGTTATAACTTCGACGATGATCGTCATCGAAGTTACAACTTCGACAATAAAATTTGTCGAAGTTAGTTTTATTTCATTTCTCGATAAATAATTTATTAAAGTCGAATATCGTATTGCTGAATATATGATAAAATTTTTTTTGCCAAGAAATATTAGTTATTCCGCTATATAGTTGAAGAAATAGTATTTATTGGCAAAAAAAGTTTTATCATATATTCAGCAATACGATATTCGACTTTAGTATATTATTTATCGAGAAATAAAATAAAACTAACTTCGACAAATTTTATTGTCGAAGTTGTAACTTCGACGACGATCATCGTCGAAGTTATGATTTCGTCGATCGGTGCAACTTCGATACGACATATATATATAGAATAAAAGCGTCTGTTTCTATTCCGCATGTTATGCTCTTTCACAGGAAACGCATCGGATATGATTTCAGATTATTCGAGAAAGTCTTATCAATGTTTTTCTTCTTGGATAAGTTTTGTGTCAAATATTTGTATCATCAAGCATTTTTAACTAAAGAATTTTTTGAAATGCTTTCCAACATGAGTATCCAATAATAGCATATAATTAATACATATTAAATACAAACGAATTTTAAACTATATGCTATTGTAAAGGAAATTTACTCTAATACTTATTGGCAATTCCGTTCGCAAAATAAATTGCTTGGTTTTATTTCAGATTCATTTAGGCATATATGTTTAGTTATAGAATACTCAATGCTCTACACAATAGTCCCAAGCTTTCAGGATTGAGCTGAGCGAGGCTCAAAGAGCCGACGCGTTACTTGTGATATACATATTAGAATAAAGTTCGTACATACATCAGCACATAAAATAACATCTCCAGATAAACAAACATTTAGGATAATAAATAAAATCCTAATAGATAGTTTAGGAAATATTCTTTCAATTTTAAGTCCTTATTTTCCATATCTAAGTGAGTCCAATGACCGTGCAAAATAGCACGTGCATTAGACAATTTAGTCATGACAGTAGCACTATTCTCAAATCAATTAGACAGCAAAGAATTTTCGAACGGGTTAACGATAAAATCGACTTTTTCAGTGAACAATTGACAAACGATTTTGTATGTATCACTAACATCATGAAAATATTATGAAAGTAATTTTTTTATTATCTAAACTTGTTTTCATTGATGCCATCTGTTACAAACTGCGTAACAAACAATCATGACGTCAAGGTTAATAACTTATGTTATTCACTAGAGAACAGAAAAAGAGAAGCAATGTGAAGATGAAAAGAAACGAGTATGAGGAAGCCTAACTTGAAAGAGAACATAAATATATGTATGTCTATGATAATCCATCAGAAAGGAATTGAAGAACAGAAAGAAAAACAGCATACCAAAATAGACCTTGTTACTATATCATAGTAAGTGAGAAAAAACCCAACGACAGAATATTTATCGGTTGGTTTTTCCCCACTTACAATAATCGCGTCTCTTTTTCTATTTTCACTCAATAACTGTTCCTATATAAACAGATATAGATAACAAAAATATCATTTCAGAATATAATTGCCTTCTTGAATGTTCGGTAATTACAAAACTATTTAGATTTCAATATTTGATATTTACTTGTCGAATATTCATTTATTACAATAATTCAAGAGTAATTACAATAGTTGATTTTCACAATACATATTATAATCGTTATTACATCCTATATATTAACACAAAATTAATATACTAATAAAGTAGGATTTCTAAAAATTCGCTAAACAGTTTGAGAAATAGAATTAGCTTCTTTGATTCCATATATATATAGCTATCTGTTGAACTATTATTTTCTTAATTAGATTTTTGCTTCGCCATTTATAAGCTTTTTCTTGTAAAATATCTGAAGCCAAGAGAGATGCCAGGAGATATTTTAATTCATGTGTATTTTAATGCAGGTACTAGTCAATGAACTTCTGATAATCATAACTATGGATTTTCTAACAAAAGTTTTGATAAACAGGAAGTTTCTGGTAAAGAAAATATAGAAAAGTTAAAGAATGGTTTATTGAAACTACTGAGAAAATATCCGTTTCAGATAATGAAGAAGATAATCCTACCAAAAATAAAATCACTGAAATAATTGAAAAATTTTAAAGCCAATATTCACAAATCATCGATCAATCTTTAAACATTTTAGAACCTGTAGAAATAAAAAATGACGTGAAAGGTTTATCAAAAACTTAAGTGATATGACCTGCATCTCCTTCAAATGCAGTCATAGGGATCTTTCCCTCTTTATCTATAGGTTTATACATATGCACTTATATTCTTCTTCTCTTATTGCCAGTCATACGCCATGATTTTTCCTTTCCTGTCATATATGTTGGAATTTTCCCTTCCGTTCTATCCTTCTTTTTTTCGTGTTGTTCTATGGATGTTTCCTCCCTTTGTTCATCGTTTGTGGGATTTTCCATTAGGAGTTTTTCAACGCTTGTTATCAGTCTATATTTAGCGTTACGCTGTTGAGTACAGTCAATGTTCCTAATAAGAACAGATTTTTATACATCTAAAAAGATTATTTATATATTCAGCAACTGTAAATGGAAAAAAAAAATTTTTTTATATATTTAAGTAGACCAATGTCTGCAGAATCAAATAATGTCAAAATCATTTTGATATCTTAAAAATTAGTTGAGTAATTAGCGGTAGAATCAAGTTGATTGAATTTGTTCTTATTAGGACTGCGTTCCTTATAAGAACAACAAGCCAAAAAATGTTCCTAATAAGAACATACAGCGAAGAACAAGATAAAATTTTAAAAAATTACTAAACGACGTTTTTCACTATCAAAATTTCAAATTTGTTGAGTACGTCAATGACAACAAATGTTCATTAGTACTCAATGCAAGGGGGAAAAAGTGGATCCTGGATCCTTGGATCCTGATGGATTCTGATGGATTCTGTGGATTCTGTTGGATCCTGATAGATCCTACTGGATCCTGTTGGATCCTATTGGATCCTGCTGGATCCTATTGGATCCTGTTGGATCCTATTGGATCCTGATAGATCCTACTGGATCCTGTCAATCCTGTTGGATCGTGATAAAGGCTATTAGATTGCAGAATAGATTGACTGGAACGTACGGAAATCTATTAGAACTTACTTCAAACTACTAAATTCGTCGAAGTCTAACATAATCCATCAAAAACTGATTAGCTTTACAGCAATCTGCAAACAATGTAAAAAACATGGATCCTGCTGGATTAGGGGTGTACAGCTCACGCTCACGAGCGCTCATAAGCGTGAGCGTTTCTTTTTTAAATAGAATATGCAAGAAATCAGTAATAATGAACCCACTTTAGCTTATATTCAAATAAAAATACATTATAGTATCTCATACAATTTCTCATCTAATATATTCAATCGATGCATCTAAATACTTGTTACTCGATCAATCGACAATAAGTGCTAGAATAGGCTCATTAAAGTTTGGAAAATCATAGTTTCCGAATATTTGTTAGTTAAATTCGCTCATCTTGCCACTGCAAACAACCAAGGAACAAAGCTAGGATCTTATTATATATGTCTAGTAGGGGTAGCACATTACTATTACCGGTAACACGTAATAACTAACGACGTTATTATTTATCACTGGAAATAATTAATAATTCTGACAAGTAATAAAATTAATAAAGAAATAATAGTAAATAAGTAATATGGTAATAAGTATTATAAGTAATAACTATTATTTCCAATTAATAGTACTAACTAAAAGCCAGGAAAAAGTAATAAAGTAATAAGGAAGAAATAAAGCAATAAAGAAATTGCTGGTGGGATTACTTCTATTTATCGATATATTTCCACTTTCTCACTAGGGCTACAACAGCTCTCAGATCGTAGTTCAGATCAAACGAACGAAAGAACTGCTGAAACAGTTCTATGTACTGATTTGTCCACAGTCGCTAGATTGCCTGCATTCAGTCACTAGTACTATTTGGGTCGTAATTAAAGGTAGCCCCTACAATCCCTTAGGCCCTATCTAGGGGTGATCCCTGTGACTTTTTGCATCCTACCTGGAGGTGGTTCCGTAAATTTTGTGAACTTACACTGGGATGGTTCCTTTAGCTATTTCGGATCTACTTAAGAGCAGACATTGGACCAGTACCAGTACAGTAAGTACCAGTACAAGTACTGTGTACTTAAAAATTGTACTTTGTACTTTTACTTAAGTACAATGTACTTAAGTAAAAGTACAAGTCTCGCTTCGCTGCATATTTTTCTACCGACAAAAATCACTTTCGTAATCAAATGACATCTGTATTAAAAAGAAGATGAAAGTTTACATGAGTATTATTAGACTTTTATATCTTTTGGTATCAAAATCAATATAATTTCCAGTTTTGTAACCTGTAATGAGTAATGGTAAATTGGTAAAAGAGATATTAGAAACACATCTACAATCTGTTTGGTTACAATGGATGCGGGTGTAGGTGTGGATGCGTGTATTGTCTTCACACGCAGTACACCCACACCCACCCACACCCACAGCCACACCCGATCCACACCCACACTCCACCCACATCCACACCCACACCCACACCCACACACCCATCCACACCCAAAGGACATGTGCACTGCACATTCGAGCATCGAAGAGATTGTGTTGACAACTTTTTGTTTAGGTTGAGCTTAGTTTAAGACTACTAAAATGTAAAGCAGATAGCTCTGAAAAGTAAAGATGCTATATATGGAAGTCTTTGTGGATTCGAGTTTAGATACTTTTTTCTCAAGTCTTTTTCAGTTCTAGCCAGTACGATGAGAACCGGAAAAATGTTCCAAACATTTCCACTGCATTTTCTTTAGTTTTAATATGAATTCCGGCGACT